AGCGAGGCGAATCGCAGGGCGCGGGGCTGCAACGTTTAAATAGCGGCCCCTGCGGGGCGATCGGCCGGGGCTGGGCAGTCAGGTCCTGGGGCGGAGTTCTCCACACTGCCCGGGGGCGACTCATGAGCCCGGAGTGAAATTGGTCTAGCCGGTTCCCCGCCAGCATTTTTTCCCCTGCCAAGAGGATTACTGTATTACAAAACAAAACAAAACAAAAATAAAACAAAAGTGGTGGTTACTACCAGAAAGAACCTGTAAATGGAATATTCAATGCTAACATTTCCTGTTTTGCTTCTGGGGAGAAAAGTGGCTCACCCGTAGTGCCCACAGAGAAAAAGTTTGGACAACCCAGTAAGCCTGGAGAAGTACCCAGTGCCCACGAAGGTCCACTCTAGCGTCAAAGGAGTGGAACCCCAAATCACCCCGCAGCCCACACGAGGCCATCAGCACTTTAAAAACCTTGTTTGGGCGGGCCGGAGCGGATCGTGTGCGCTGAGGAGCCCCGGGCGGGCCCGCCCGCCCGCATCCAGATTTAAAAAAAAAATACAACATCTAATGGTTATGAAGACCACATGGCCGAAGACTGCAGGGATGACATCGGGAGAACTAACTTAATAGTCAGCTACCTCCCTCAGAACATGACCCAGGATGAGTTGCGAAGTCTGTTCAGCAGTATGGGTGAAGTGGAATCTGCGAAACGTATTCGGGATCAAGTTGCAGGACACAGCTTGGGCTATGGCTTTGTGAACTACGTGACTGCAAAGGAGGCGGAGAGGGCAATAAACACGCTGAACGGCCTGCGGCTCCAGTCCAAAACCATGAAGGTGTCGTATGCTCGCCCAAGCTCAGAGGTCATCAAAGACGCCAACCTGTACATCAGCGGGCTCCCCAGGACCGTGACCCAGAAGGACGTGGGGGACATGTTCTCTCGGTTTGGGCGAATCGTCAACTCCCGGGTCCTCGTGGACCAGACCACAGGTTTGTCCAGAGGGGTTGCGTTTATCCGGTTTGACAAACGGTCGGAGGCAGAAGAGGCAGTTACCAGTTTCAATGGTCATAAACCCCCAGGTTCCTCCGAGCCCATTACAGTGAAGTTCGCAGCCAATCCCAACCAGAACAAAAACGTGGCACTGCTCTCCCAGCTGTACCACTCGCCCGCTAGACGGTTCGGAGGCCCCGTTCATCACCAAGCGCAGAGATTCAGGTTCTTCCCTATGGGCGCAGATCACATGAGTGGGCTTCTGGTGTCAATGTCCCAGGCAACGCGTCTCCAGGCTGGTGCACCTTCATCTACAACCTTGGTCAAGATGCCGATGAGGGAATCCTCTGGCAGATGTTTGGCCTCTTTGGCACAGTCACCAATGTGAAAGTGATTCGCGACTTTAACACCAACAAGTGCAACGGTTTTGGTTTTGTGACCATGACAAACTGTGAAGAAGCCGCGATGGCCATAGCAAGTCTGAACGGCTACCGCCTGGGGGACAAAATCTTACAGGTTTCCTTCAAAACCAGTAAGTCCCACAAATAACTCGCTCATGCTTTTTTTGTACGGAATAGATAATTCAGAGTGAAGAAGTTGAAACTTTTTTGTTAGTGTACAACTCATTTTGCGCCAATTTTCACAAGTGTTTGTCTTAGCCTAAATGAGAAGTGAAAAGGTTTTTATACTCTGGGATGCAACCGACATGTTCAAATGTTTGAAATCCCACAATGTTAGACCAATTTTAAGTTTCTTAAGTTATTTCCTTTAAAATATATATTAAACAAATCTCAGTAGACTGCATTGACTCACCAGTCCCTCAGGATGGTGGTGAAACTGAAGCATGCTTTAACTTCTGAGACTGTCTAACACTTGTTTCATTCGGTGTCTCCTCAAACTGGATAAAAAAAAAAAATAGAAATGACCTTTTAGTTTTCGTTTTTAAACTAAAGATGTTAGACAGATGCTGAGTGTGCATTTTCTCAACCGCTTCAACATTTTAAGCGATTTCTGCTTTGGTTGACATGAAATTGTTTCCCCAAGCAGGTCCCATTGCCACCTCCTGCTCACTCAGTCCCAGGGTCTGCCGAGTGGTCATGGCAGTGGCCTCGGGCCCTTCCGACGTGGGCCACCATGGGGAGGGGGGCCACATGCCGGGCCGGGCCCTCCAGAGGAGGACACAAGAACGTGTTTCGTAAGCCCAGGCGCCAATGGGAATGGACCAAAGAGTTTCAGGGAAACTCCATATATTCCCGAGTCAGATCTAAGCTCCAGGCACGCCTGAAGATGTGTTGCTACTCTGACATCCGAATTCCTGTCCACACATTGCATGCACGGTGCCCCCTACACCAGATACTGTTCACAATCATTTCTCCACTTTCCAAGAGCATTTAACATAGCTCGAATGTGTAAGATAGCTCTATTTTTTAATAACACAGAAACATTTGAGCATTGTATTTCTCGCATCCCCTCTTGTGAGCTCTAGACTCTTTTTCTATTTTAGTCAGATTTTGTTTTGAAATTTTGCTTTCGTATGAACACTCAGCAGAAAAGTACTTACTTCTTGCTAGTTATCTATTAACCAAAAAAACCCCTTTGGTTTGTAGTTTTAAAGATTAACCCTCAAAGTTCTCTTCATAACTGCCTTGACATTTTAGGTTGTTCTGTTCTGTTAATTTTCTTTTGCTTTTTTGTGTTTTTTGTTTGTTTTTACTTTTGCATTTAAGACCATTAAATTTGGTTTTGTTTTGCTCAGGGGAAAAAAAAATCTTGTTTGGATAGGCAGGGATAGTGTCACGGGGTATGCCGCGGCTGGCAAGGGCAAGCATTGCTTCCTGAGGCTTTAGGGTCAGTTACAGAAGTACAAGTGCCCATGTGTGCACTGGCTCCCCCTGCACAAGCTTTTTTGTTCTGTGGGTCATGGTGGGAAAGTTTAGAACCACTGCCCCCAGGACCTTCTGTGGCCAGGTGTAGGGAATTGGCGATTGCAGGACCTCTGGGTCACCTGGGGCTTTGGGCCCAGAGATGTGGACAGGCTGGAGGAGAGGGTGGCTAGGGACAGCAGGAGGCACAGATTTGAGAGGACAGCAAAAAGAATCCTCCCCATGAAGCTTGGCCTGTGGTGTAGTCCCCACCCCCACCCTAGCCACCCTGCTAACCCTGCCTTATGCTTCTAACCTTGGACCTTGCCCTCTGCCTGCCAGAGGCCTGGCTTGTCCTTCCTGAAAGGCCCATCTGCTTAGATCCCCGAGTGGCTTCTTGCTCCCAGAATGGTATCCAAACCCTTTCACTTGTCCTGTGATCTTTGGTGGGCCTGCTGGACTGGCTCAAGCCAGCTTTGGTGCAAACCGTGCTCTAGAGGCCCTTACTGCTGGCCAGAAGTGCCCTCGGCACGCCCCACCCCCACTGTGTGCCCTGTGCTCTCCCAGCTCTGCAGTATGGTTGCCTGGAGGGCCCCACCCTAGCCCCTCATCCCCTGCCCCTGGCCCAGGGTTGGACACTGCACTAGCCCAGCCGACTGACATCCATGCCCAGCCTTCTAGCTGGCACATGACGTGTGAGGGCCTGACCCAGGCCAGCATAATTGGAACCACACAGGGATGACTCAGCTTGGTGAGAGCACATGCGACTAACAAGAAGGTTGCTGGTTCGACTCCTGCAACTAAGACTGAACTCAGCACCTTGAGCTGAGAGGCTGCAAGCTGCCGACAGGTGGCCAGATGGCAACCGGACTTGGAGCTGAGCTAGCTGCGCCCTCCACAGCTAAGACTGAAGGACAACAACTGGGCTGTTCCACTTCCCTAATTCTCCAACACTGTTCCCCTTCCCCACTTCCCCAATAAATTTTTTTTTTTTTAAAGATTTTTACTGGGGAATTTTGGGGGAAGGGGAACAGACAAGTTGCTGTCCTTTTGTTCTTCAGTCTAGTTGTGGAGGACGTTGCTTCACTGGTCCAAGTTGGCACCATCATTGCGCTCTTCCCGGGTGAGGCAGATCAGTCGCCGGCTTCTGGACGGCCGCTCACTGCGGCTGCTGGCCGCTCACGCTGGCTGCTGGCTACACACGGTAGCCCATGGCAACCCACTGCAGCAGGGGCTGCAGCCTACGCCATGGCAGGCACCAGCGACTCACGGCAGCCTAGCTCCAGGTTGAGCTGTTGTTCAGCATCTTACCTGTAGAGGGCAGTGTCACTGGCCCTCACATGTGGGATCCGAACCAGGGCCCTCTGGCATCCCAAGCCAGTTCTTAACCATCGCGCCACTCGGCCGGCCCCCCAATAAAATCTTTTTAAAAATTAAATTAAGTTAAATTAAAATAAAAATAAATAAATAAAATAAAAATGAGGGTGAAACAAAGACATTTTCAGGTAAACAAAAGCTGAGAAATTTTTGTCACCAGCAGACCTGCTCTATAAGAAAGCTAAAGGATTGATTCACGACCCGAGCTGAGCTGCCACTGAGCTGCCAACAGGTGGCAGGATGGCTCAGCTAAAAAAAAAAAAAGAAAGCTAAAGGATGTTCTTTAGCCTGAAGAGAAATTAAACCAAATGATACCTTGCATCTGCCAGAAAGAAAGAAGAATGCTAGAAATAATAAATACATTGGAAAATATAAAACACAAATTTTCTTTTCAAAATTTCCTTTGAAAACAATTGACTCTTTAAAATAAAAATAACAGTGTAAAGCGAAATTTTCGGCATATGTAAAAGTAAAAGATATAACAACAATATCCCAAGGTATACTGAGGGTAAAAAAAATTATACTCTTTCGAGGTCATTACATTTGTGAAGAGGTATGAAGTGTAAAGTAGTTCAATACTGACTCTCAACGAATCTTGATAAATTGAAGACGCATACTGTTAACACTAGACTACTAACAAGATAATTTTTAAATGTAGAACTAAGAAACCAATAGAGGAAACAAATGAAAATACTAAACCTACTTGATTACCGCCCCCGACCCCCAAGAAAGGCAGGAAAAGAGTAACAGAAGAACAAAAAGCAGAGAGAAGAAATAGAACACATAACAAGGTAGTACTCATCGACCCAACTATACCAACAATTACATTAAACGTAAACTGACTACACACTCCAGCTGAAAGGCAGACATTGTCATACTGAATATAAAAGCAAGGCCATATGCGATCTATGAATGACTCACTATAAATATAAAATTACATATAGGTTGAAGGTAAATGATGGAAAAAGATGCACCGTGCAAATCGTAAGCATAAACATCTCTGCCACAAAACGATACACATTTTACGGGAACACAAACACAATTACACACTGAAACACATTAGAATGGTTTCCAGGAGGGGCGTGGTGTAGACGGCAGGACGACAAAGGAATGAGCCTGGCGTGCATGGGGCGTGTGAGAAGGAGACCCTCAGCACCTAGATGTGAAGAAAGGGAACACAAAAGAAGGAAGGGAAAAAAGCAATGAGGAAAGGAGGCGAGGGAGGGACCCACAGCTGTGGGTAGCCACCCTGGCTCGAGGATGGGGTACACATGTCTCTTGGGGGTAACCATCCCAAAACTGTGCATTTTGAGGCTTGTGTTCATGTCTGCCAAGCAAGGGAAAGAAACAGAGCAGGTTAGGGGACCAAGGCCACTCTGTGAACCCCAAAGAGAATCGTCTGCTCTTCCCAGGATCCAGGCTGCCTTGACTTTGTCCAGAACTCAGCTGGGCAGCCCGAGGCCTTGCTCAGGTCAGAGGGGAGGCACTGAGGCTGCCGTGGGGGGAAGGTGGGGGAGGAAGGCCTGCCCTGCTGGGCTCAGGGAGCCCTGACGTAGTGTGGGTCCCGGGGACAAGCCTGGTGCCCAGCACAGGCTGGGGGAACTAAATGGAGGGGACAGCTGTGGACTGGGCTTGGGGAACCCGTTCCCCATGCATTCCTGCATCCAGGACAGAGTCCAGCAGGTAGTGCCACCATCCACTGGCTGAGGCTTCCAGAGGACCCTCCTGGGGAGACCCACCCAAGACCCTGCCACTGCCGACTACCCCCCGACTGCAGTTTCAAAATGCAGGCACTTACCTCCCCTCCTCTTTTTTTTTTTTTTTAAAGATTTTATTGGGGAATTGGGGAAGGGGAACAGGGTTGGGGAATTGGGGAAGGGGAACAGGGTTGGGGAATTGGGGAAGGGGAACAGGGTTGGGGAATTGGGGAAGGGGAACAGGGTTGGGGAATTGGGGAAGGGGAACAGGGTTGGGGAATTGGGGAAGGGGAACAGGGTTGGGGAATTGGGGAAGGGGAACAGCCAAGTTGTTGTCCTTCAATCTTAATTGTGGAGGCGCTGCTAGCTCAGCTCCAAGTCCAGTCACCATCCACCCATTGGCAGCTCGTGGCCACTCAGCTCAAGGTGCCGTGTTCAGTGTTAGTTGTACGCCCACCATCCCATGTGTGAGTCGAACCGGAAACTTTGTTGTTAGGAACACAGGCTCCTGCCAGCAGCAGCTCAGCTCGGGCGCAGCTCACTGGCCCATGTGGGAATTGAACTGGCGACCCTGTTGCTCGGAGCTTGCACCCCCAACCAACTGAGCCACTCAGCCGGCCCCCTCCCCTCCTCTTAAAAGACAGAAGATGGACGACTCCCCCAGCTGTTCTGGGGCCTTTCTTCTGTATCTCCTTTCTTCTTTTTATTCCTTCTTTATTTCCTTTTTCTTCCCCTTACTACTCCTTGAAAAATCTATCTGCGGCTCCAGACTGTGAGTCACCATCCACGTCATTAGGAATGCTTTCAGCTGTCCACAGGCGAGTGACACCGCGGGGACAACAGGAGGGACCGGAAGGACAGGGCACCAGCTAACACCTGCAGACCTAGGCTCTCCCTCCCAACGGTGCTTCTCCACCTTGTCCAGCTTCTCTGCTGTTAAGGGGACCCTGTGACTTTTTCCAGCCAATGGGAGAAGTAATATGGGTCCCCCATGGGCTCAGGTGGTGCATGTCCTCTGTCCTGCATCTCAGCTGGTGATACTCGGGTGACTTAAACTACAAAGGATCGAAGAGGCCTGGATTCCCCCCTCACCACGCACGCAGGTGACAATGTGACGTGGACAAATATGCTTTCGGGCTGTCCTTTCTACCCCACGGCCTAGCCCATCCTGACATAAATTAATAATTAATAAACTAATTCTAGCACCATTTGTTGAAAAGACTCTTCCCCACTGAGTTGCCATGGTGACGCTATTGGAAACCATATGACAGAGTAAGTGTGTGTCTGCGTCTGGGCTCTCTGCTGTGCCAGCCACACCGGCTTGGTACCAGAGTTTGACAGCAGGCCGTGGAGTCAGGCTCTGTGAGTCCCTCAGCTTTATTCTTTTTCAAGATTGCTTTTTGTATCTATGCATTTCAATGTCAACTTTAGATTCAGCTGGTCAATATTTTTAAAATGTATTTGTCTGATCTGGGTACCAGAGTCATGCCAGCCTCCAAAATGAGCCAGGAAATTGTGGGGAGCAGGTTGTGAGCTGACAGGGTCCTCACAGCCTGTGGAACAGTTCAGGGAATGTTCCACCCACAGTTCAGGGAACGTTCCACCCCCACTGATCCAAGAAGAAAAAGGAATAGCTGAAGCCGCAGGAGACTCTGAAAAGTGCATAACAAAATGTAACCTGCTTGTGCACTTAGAGAAGTGCATAACAGGATGTAACTTACTATGTCTAACCCGATAAACAGATCCCCTGCAGCTGTTTAGTGCTCTCTGCAGCTGCTTGCTACTATATAAGCTCTCTGCAAAAAATAAACGTGGCCATTGCTCCGCCATCAGCGGTCAGTGGACCTCCTGATCCCAGCTTTTGTCTCTGTGTCCATCTTTTCTAATCTCCCACCCAGTCCACTCGGGTAGCTTTAGTTGACGAGCGGGTCTCGTCAGGAAATGTCCCGTTCTCACCTATTTCGTGAAAGGCTGTGTGTACCAGTAATGTGGTTCCTTCCTGGAATATTTCACAGAATCCACCAGTGAAACCATCTGACCCTGGGGATTTCTTTGTGGGAATGGTTTTGTTAATAAATTCGAATTAGATAATAAATAGAGGGGTATTCCAATGTTGAATTTCATCTTGGCTTACTTTCTAAGTAACATCTTTGCTGAGATATCATTCATGTATCAAAAAAGTGTACAGTTTTGAAATGTGCCATTCAGTGGGTTTTATTATCTTCACAGATGTGTAACCACCACATGCCCTACTCCATTATAAAGCCACCTCCATTACTCATGGCAGTCTGAAGTCACCGCAGATACGGAACTAGTTAAGGTGGGAGCCTTTGCCCTCGGGGAAAATACATACGCACACAATTTGCAGATTATGATATTAAATCCTAAAACAACTCAATCTGGTGGACTCTAGTTTCCTTATTTTACAAAAGAGAAAATGAGGTTCGGGGTGGTTCTGTGAAAATGAGGTTCTGTGCCTGAAGCACAGAGGTGGGATTCAAAGTGGTCCATCTGGCCCAGAGTTCCATCCTCAGGCACCTGGGAGGCAAAGCCCCACCTGGACCCACCTCTGCGGGGGATGGCACACCTGGTGACTCTTCCATGTCTGCAAATGACCAGGAAAGCAAGATCGATTTGGAGTTACAAATAAACTTTATTGAGTGGGCGAATTCACAAACAGACGAAGACCGACTGTGTTTTCATCACCCCCAAGGGAAGCCAGTACTCGTTAGCAGTTACCCCCACTCAGCGGAGCCTTCAGCCAGGCAGCTGGTCCCCACGGCGGGTCCTCATGCTGGAAGCCTGCGCTCGCTCAGCGCCCTGCACGCAAGGGCAGGGGTGCGCTGATGCTCAGTAAACACTCATCCAAAAGGTGTTAAGAGGGCGGGCCGAGTACACAGCTTAATCCTTAACCTTAATTAACAAGATTTAAAAATTTTCTGATTATGCATCTACTATATATGTCTATTATGACACAGAGTGTGTCATTTGTAAAGTACCAAAAAGTGGAAAGAGAAAAAAGCATTTTACCCATTTTTGCATTTTTCAGTGTGTTCCTCCCAGGCTATTTTCTCTCTGAAAAGTATATGGACCAGCTAGCTGCCCTGGCAGGCCCTGCAGCCTGAGGACACCAACCAGCCCCTCAGGGTGACCAGTCCTTGGACCTGGTGAAGGGAGAGGTCTGTGCCTCTGAGGTGGTTGGGGCCGTAGGCTGCTCCAGCTGGAGGAGGGGCAGCTCAGTCCAATCTGTTGGCGCTGCTCTGTGCTGTGAACACCGGCGAGGCCTGTGGGTCGGGGGTGCTCAGCTAGTATCAAGGTCTCAGGGGATGCCGCACGTTCTGCATCTGCGAATACGGGACGTGGCTGCTGAGCAGAGAATTTCTGGTGACCTTCCATAGACCCCTTTCACAGGTGACCTGTGCCCAAGGCCAGAGGACCTTGCCTGGCTTCTCCCACCCTCGTGGGCTCCTGGAGCCCATCTGCCCATCTCTGGGCTCCATTCCTGCTCCTGAGGTCTGGCTGGGCCTCAGCTCGCTTCCCGCCCTGTCCATGCTGCGGTGCCCTACACCGAGCTCACCAGATTGGCGGTGACTTGAGTCCTGGCTTGCCAAAGTCTCTTCTCAGATCTGAGCAGCAAGACTGGCTTCTCCTGGGAACAGTTGTTTGAATCCAGTGGAAAATTACTGGTTTGAAAGTGTATAATCATAATCCAACAACACAAAATGGCAGTGGTGTGACCGGTCACTTATGAGAAAAAAAGCCTCAAGACCTGAGTAAGTGGACATGAGCTTATGCCCACAAAAAACAAACAAAAAAATGGAACAGGCTTAGCTCACAAACCTGTGGCAAGACGCAACGTCAGGGGATGGTTTAGATGCTGAGAAACATCTGTGTGTGTGCTCCTGGCGTCCCAAGTGCTCAGGCAGAGCAGACAGAGGGCAGGGGGAACGACAGGCTCCCTCCCAGCGGCACTGTGGGCAGGACCGATGCCTCTGGGAGGCTCTGGCACTGACAGGAGCCGGATGCTGCTGGGTTCTGAGTAACAACTTGCTCATATAGGAGCTGCTTGCAAGACACGCTCTCTGTCGGGGAGACACATTTTCTTCCATGTCCTTTGCCATCTAGGACATTGTGTCATGGGCGGGGCCTGGGGCAAGGCTCAGAAAGGAGGGAAATCCTTAGGTGACATTACGGGGACGGGACACAGAGCCCCAGTCTGCAGTGAATGGAGCACCTAGCAGACCGCAGGCCATGCGAGGCGAGACGCGGCCCATGGGGAGAAGCTGACGGCCCCATGCCGCGGGCACCCTTGCCGTCCTGGGGCCCTGGGGTCTGTCATTGGTGCCGTAACATGTCCGTGGCAAGTTGTGAGAATTCTCTCTTCCCCCTCGTGGAGTTGAGGCTGCAGGCTTGCTGAGACTCACTGCCCCTGCACTTGTCTCGACCCCAACATTGCTCCTCAGCCCAGAGCCTGACAGAGCACAAAGAGCACCAAGTCGGGGCCTCTCGCGGGCTCCCACAGCTGCAGGTCCCAGCCCTGGGACACCCGGCCCCACGTGTCCCCGGGGTTCCTTTTCCTCCTGAGGACACACCAACGACTCACACACAAACCAGCCACGTGGATACCAACCTGCCTATTGAGTATTGCCTGCCTGCCCTCCACACATGTCTACATAGCCATGCACACACGTGCATAGCCACGTGCCCATGCACACAGCTGCTTACACATTTGCACAGCAATTCACAAAGTACGTGCCAGGAACATGTGTGCACACCCCACACATATGCGTACATATGCACACGCATGCACACATGCACACACACACACATAGTTCTACTTGTTGAGAAAGCCAGCACAACCGTCAGGAAGATCACCTCCAGGGACAAGGTTTGTCCTCATGCCGTCACTCCCCACAGGACCCCCACACAGAAGAGCCCTGGGCAACGGAAGGCGGGGCTGGCAGAGGCTATAAGGAACACAGACCTGCGTGGGATGGGGAGGCTGCATGTTGTGTGGCCTGTCCAGAGCTGAGCCGCCAGGAGCTACGCTTGCCCGTTGAGACAATGATACAGATAGACGGTGACAATCAAGTTTTTATTCACGATTGAACAGCACAGCACGAGGCGAGGAAGACGCTGCCTCGGTCACCTCCTCCTCCCACGGAAAGGCAGTCAGGGCGGGTGGTGTGCAGACAGAGGGAGCGCCCAAACACAAGTCTCCTGTTGTTTTATGGACTTGGGGCCAGGGGGGCAGGACAAGGACTGAGTCAGACTGGAGAGCTGTCCTCAAGGCTCCCAGTAAGGGAGTCTGGCTGAGGAACCTGACAGAGGCCTTGGCTGAAGGGCCCCCCAATAAGGTGGCCTCTGCATGGACACGCCCAAGAGCATGGCTGGCCAGGGGGCCTGAGTCCTTGAGTGTCACGCCCCCCCCCGAGACCCCGATGCCCTGGCTGGGGACCAAGCCCCTGCGAGGCCTGCAGGTAAAACATCTGCAAAGGATCCCACACATGACCCTGGCCTTGGGCCCACTCCTCAGCACCTGGTCCACCTGGGGCCCCCTCCAGCAGGTGAGGGCAGAACAGAGCCTGGGGAGCCAGACACCAGCCCCCTCCCAGGCCCCCCAACACGCGAGTGGAGACCCTTCCCATGGGAGCAAACCTCCAGGGCAGGGCTTGGGGAAGGGGCAGCCCGCGTACCAGGGTCCGGGCCTCTGGGCAGGGCGGGCATGTCCCCGCTCTCCCAAGGCGCCTATCACCCGGGTCTGCCAGGGGCTGTAGGGCAGGCCTGCAGGCCAGCTGCCTGCTGGGTGCTCACGTCTCCCTGGATGTGGCTGCGGCGTGGCCTTGACCGCCCGAGGGAGTCAACTGAGGCCAGCAGGGGGCAGCACCACGCCTCCTCCCTTGGGCAGAGCCAGCGCCAACCCTGGGTTGGGGGTCAAGCGTCACTTAGAGGCGAGGTCACCCTGCTTCTGCACAGGACACCAGTCCGTGTCCGGGTAGAGAAGGCAGTGGACAGACTTAAACCTGAGAAGGGGGATGTGGTGGTCAGGGCGGTGCGAGCGGTGGGCTGGCTCCCGAGCGCCGCCCCACTGTCTACTCACCGTGTGGGGTCCTGCTGCAGGCTGAAGCCTCTGGCCACGTTCACCACATTACGGGGGTTCTCAGGACCCCCGTAGCTCAAGGTGACCTGGGAGAAGGGAGGAGGGCGACACACTCTCAGGGCCAGGCCTCGCTTCCTCTGTCCGCTTCAGGAGTCCAGCCTAGAGAGGCTGCTCGGCCTCCTGGTCCCCCCGGGGCCCTTAGCCCGTGCCCTCCCAGGAAGGTCTGGAAGAGCACTGACAAGTGATGTAGGCTGAGAGGCATGGCCGGCATAGACGACACCACAGGAGGGCAGCCGATCAGCCCTGCCGGTGGCCTGGTCTGTGACTCCCATCAGCACCCAGACCACTGCCCACTGCCCAGCTGTCCCGGGCCCATCCACATGGGAGATCGCAGCAGCTGTCCTTTACAACCAAGCCCCCAGATGAGAATGGTGCCCCCACCACCCTCGGGGGGACCCTGGGTCCCAGGAGGCCAAGTCCAGAGTCCACGCTGGGGCCCACCCCAGCCACGTGCGAATCCCTTCGGAGCCCTTGTTCAGCTGGGAGACCGTCTGGGCCAGGCCCCTTAGGCAACAGGGTGGGGGGCAAGGTCTCCAGAACGGGGACAGCCGCCGGGACGCCAGGGAGCACCCAGCGCCGTACCTGCTGGAGCACAGTGTCAGGCGGCAGCCGCTGCAGGTTCTCCAGGTGGGAGTGGAAGAGCGCGCTGTGCAGCAGGCGGGCGCCCAGCAGCCCCTCCACGATGTAGCCCACTGTGCAGTCGTCCGGGAGCCGCACCCGCTCGGCCGTGCTCATGAAGCTGCCCAGGCTGGGGGTGGGTGCTGGTCAGCGCCGCGTCAGTTCTCCGCACCCCACCTGAGCAGCCGGCGCCCCATGTCCCTCACTCACCTGGCCCACGGGCTCATCTTGAGGGCAAGGCCTCGGCTCAGGCAGAACCCGGCCCCACCAGTAGCGAACCAGAACTTGACAGTGGTCACCTGGGAGGAGGGAGCGGAGTCAGTGCTGCTTGCCGCCCCCTGGCCTGGGTGGATCAGGCACCTGCCATTCCCCACGGGGTCCCCACACTCTCAGCTGTCACTCCCTGGGCCCAGCACTCACGGTTCCTCCTCCCTGGACCCTCTCGGTAGCCTCAATGGGGTGGTCCAGGCTGGGCCGCCCCAGGTAGACGTCCTGGCTGGGGGAGAAGGTGGACAGCAGCTGCAGCAGGCCTCTGGGATTCACGTAGTTGTCGTCATCTACGTGGCAGAACCACCTGGAGGCAGTGAGGAAGTCCGTCGAGTGTGTACAGGTGTGTGGGCCCAGCTGCAGCCCGGGGCTCTCCGACGGGGCGCAGGGGCGCGGCCACCACGTACTTGCGTCCAGACTCGATGAACTTGTCGTACTCCACCGACATCTTGCAGCACAGCGCCTGCCGGGTGTGCACGGCTGAGCAGTTGGTGTTGATGACGTGGCTGCCTGCCGGTTGAAGGATTGGGGACCTGGGAGGACCTGGGCGAGGCCTGGGGCGAGGCCTGTCGCCAGCCCGCCCCACCAAGGTCAGGGCAAAACGTGGCTAACTGCAGGCCTGGCCGCCTTGCCCTACTCAGAACCTCAAGGCCGGATCCAACCACAGCCCTGGCCTGGCTTCCCTCAGCTGACCCTGTTGTTAACCTCTGCAGTCCAGGCAGATGACAACCGCTTGGAATCCCATGAGTGGAAACCCACCAGGGAACAGGATTGAGGGGGGACCCACGCCAGGCAGGGCAGGCCCGGGAGGGACGGTTTCCTAGTGGGGCTTCTTCGTGGGCTGTGGCTTGGGCCTGAGGCCCTAGAAGTCAGCCAGCAGCGGAGGCAAGCAGAACATGGCTGGCAGGGTGGCGCCCTGGATGCGGGGCTGCAGGCAGGTGGGCATCCTGGCTCCGCCCTCTACCAGTCAACGACCCTAAGCTGGTGGCTTAACCCCCGTGAGCCGCTGTCCACAGCAGGGGCGTGTGTGGCACTGCATCGAGGGCTCCGCGAGGGCCCCCTGGGCACACTGGCTGGGAGGGGGGGCACTTACTTCCCTGGAGCTGTAGGTCAGGGTCGTCCCCATCGGTGAAGATGAAAGTCTGGGGAGAAACAGCCTGTGAGGCATAAGTGGCACTCCCCAGTGACCCCTGGCCTGGCAGGGCCTTGGCCCGGGTGAGCGAGAGTGAGGGTGAGCGAGAGTGAGGCTGCCGAGGTGGGACCTCAGGCAGAGAAGTGCAGCCAGGCCAAGCCCGGGCATGGACACGGACGGGGGTGGGAGGAGAGGAGACGGTGGTGCCCGGCGCCATCCTGCTCCTCACAGAGGTTTCTAGGGTCTCCGCCCAGTGTCAGCTGGGAGAACCCACCCGAGTCTGGAGCCCAGAAAAGAGCAAGACGGGGTGGGCGCTGGGGGCCCTGGGTCCCCGCTGACGCAGGGCCTGGGGCCTGGCCACCATGCTGGGGACACAGCCCCGGGTAGGTGGACCCCGGTGTCGGGGATCCCGCAGCACTCCTGCCAGGGCCAGGGTTCCCACCTGCCGTCGAGCCCGGGAGATCCAGGTGCGCAGCAGCAGCCCCAGGCGCGGCCCGTGGTTCTTCCGGGTGGTCTTGACAGCGATGAAGATGTCGTCGGGCCGCAAGTGGGGGGCGTGGGCGCGGGCAGGGGGCCCGCGCGGGCCGGGACCGGGGGTCGGCGCCGGGGCCCGGGCTGGGGCGGGCCCACGGGGCAGCGGCAGCGGCAGCAGCAGGAGCGCGGCCAGGGCCGCGGCCAGCGCGAGGCAGGCCCGGCATAGCAACCCCCGCGCGCGGCTCATACGGCCGCCGACCGGCCGGCAGCGCCCGGGGCAGGCGCACGCCGCGGCCCCTTTAAGGGCCGCCCCGCCCGCGCCGCGACCCGGAAGCGGTGGCCGTGCTGCCCCGGAAGTGGACGGCACGCCGCGGCGGGGTGGGCGAAGATGCCGATGCCGGTTCAGGTGTTTAACTTGCAGGTAACGAGCTGCGGCCGGCGGCCCCTCCGCGCCCCCGCCGCTGGGCCGGAGCCGAGGCCGAGGCCGGCCGTGCAGCCCGCGCGCCCCCGCCCCCGTCCCGGCCGCAGCGTCCCCGCGCGTCGGCGCTGGCAGGCCCGCCCGCGCTAACGCTCTTTCTCCCTGCAGCAGCCAGCCAGCTCTGTGTCAGGGTCGGGGGGTGCAGAGAGTCAGGACAGAATGAGGGATAGCCCGGCCCCCAGCGCGGCCGCCTCGTCAGTGACAGCTCTGTACTGCGCCCCTCCCAGCAGTAGGGCAGACCTCTTCCTGCCGGGCACGGCCGGGGACTTCAGCCTGAGCGCCAGCCTGTCGGCCTGTACGCTGCTTTATGAGGTACCGTCCAGGACAGGGGGCCCAGGACAGCCAGCCAGCGAGCGAGCGAGCGAGCCGGGAGGGGGGCAGCCCCGCCCGCCGGCCGCCGAGCCCGCGCAGACCGCGCGGGGGCCGCTCGCCGAGCTCCCGGGAGCGCGCGGCTCGTGCCGCCAGGTCCGGCCCGCTGCGCCCTAGGTGACCCGCTCCCGCCTCCGGATCGGCGGGCGCCCGGCCCCGCGGCAGGAGTCGCCGGCACTGCTGCCTCGGCTGCTCGGGACATTCCCGGGTTGAGGTCGCGTCCGCCTGTTCTCTTAAGACTTGGAGGAAGCTGCGTCAGGACGGTGGCTGGGAACATGCGGGGACCCTCGGGGGTCCCTGGGGAGCGGCCCTCCGATGAGTGCTTTCCCGCCCCAAAGATGGGCGATTAGAATCGGGCCAGGGCTTTCTGCCCATGAGCCGCTAGTCTTGAGGTGCTGGAGACGGGGGAACGGGGAGGGGCTGGCACGGGCACGCATAGGGGGACAGGATGCCGCCAGGGAGATGGCTGGCACAGCTGAGCTCGGGGCACAGTGAGGGTCTCTTGCCCTCCCTGGGCAGTCCCGTGCCGGAGGTGACAAGGTGCCCGCCTATGTTGCAGGGGGCAGTGGAACCCATGCAGATTGATGTGGACCCCCAGGAGGACCCGCAGAACACACCTGATGTCAACTATGTGGTGGAGAACCCCACCCTGGTATGGGCCTGCGAGACCCTGCGAGACGAAGGGGGCAGGGCTTGGGGTGTCGGTCTTGCTGGGGGCGTCCAGGCTCCTCACAGGCCGTGTCTTTCTGTGACCCAGAAACCTCTAGAGTTTCTGGTTGCCCACTTATGAGGGGACTCTGCACTCCACTTCTGCATGCCAGGCCAGCCTGCGGGCCGTCTCACCATGAGGATAGGTCTGCCTGGAGGCCCAGTGTAGAAAGCAGCCTCCTCACTGCCCAGCCTGGTGACTGACCGGCAGTCGTGAGCGGGTGCCCATCCGGCCCTGGCCAGTCCCTCCCCGTTTCCTGGGCGTAGCTCTACTCTGGAGGCCCCTGCACTTGCCACCCTGTGTGGCCTGTCCAGCCCCTGGAGAGTGGTCCATCTGCCCACTTGTTCCCATCATGGGCCTGGGGCCTCTCAGACGTGGGGGAAGGGCCAGCTTTCGGGCTGCTGCTCCTGACTCACTAGCGGGCAGTTGGGGTGTGGGGTGCCTCCTTGCACAATCCTCCTCCGTCCCCCAGGATCTGGAGCAGTATGCAGCCAGTTACAGTGGTCTGATGCGTATCGAGCGACTGCAGTTCATTGCCGACCACTGCCCCCCACTGCGGGTGGAGGCCCTCAAGATGGCCCTGTCCTTTGTGCAGAGGACCTTCAACGTAGACATGTATGAGGAGGTCCACCGGAAGCTGTCAGAGGCCACCAGGTGAGGCCAGGGGTCGGGCATGGTGTGACCCCATCGGGTCCAGCCTGGACAGGGGCCCCTCCGGTCCCCACCCCTGTGCGGCACTTACAGCAGCACTCCCCAGCACGGCAGCCGGCCTTCCTGTTGAAAGGCCAGGAAGAGCAGTAAATGGCAAAATGGGCTGGGCGCTCACTCTCCTGGTGGGGAGAGGTCAGGCTCTCTGTGTCATCCCGGCTATTTTCTGCATGCGTGTGCTCATGTACATATTCTGAAGCCCCCTGGCTTCCCCCCAAGACTGTCCCTGTGCCCCCCTGCCAACTGGGTGCTCCCAGTGGGGCTGGGGGTGGGCAGGTCCCCCTGGGAGGTGCCCTCCGGCTGGCATATCACCCCTGATGGCCAGGTCCTCCCCCAGGGAGCTGCAGAACGCACCGGACGCCATCCCCGAGAGTGGCGTGGAGCCCCCACCACTGGACACAGCCTGGGTGGAGGCCACGCGGAAGAAGGCCTTGCTGAAGCTGGAGAAGCTGGACACAGACCTGAAGAACTACAAGGGCAACTCCATCAAGGAGAGCATCAGGTGCTGCTGCGGGGGTGGGGGCAGGGCGGCCAGGTCCATACCCTGGAGGTGTCCACTCACAGCCCAGCCCACAGGCGCGGCCATGATGACCTGGGTGACCACTACCTCGACTGTGGGGACCTTAGCAACGCCCTCAAGTGTTACTCCCGGGCCCGGGACTACTGCACCAGCGCCAAGCACGTCATCAACATGTGCCTCAACGTCATCAAGGTGGGCCCTGTGGTGGGTGGGGGGGTGGGGGGCACAGGGCAGACTGCCTTGGGCCAGGTGGGGCCCCCTAGGCTGATTTGGCCCTACCTGCCCGCCCACCAGGTCAGCGTCTACTTGCAGAATTGGTCTCACGTGCTGAGCTACGTCAGCAAGGCCGAGTCCACCCCGGAGATTGCCGAGGTACCCCGCCCCCTGAGCCCTGAGTGCTGCTGCCGGGTGGGCTTCGTCCTCCCCGAGTCCGCCTTTGCCCTCCTCAGGCCGGGGCTAGGGGTCGGGACGGGGGGTTGGCGAGGGTGTGGAGGGCACTGCTTGCTCACTTGCTGCCGCCTACCCCTGCAGCAGCGTGGGGAGCGGGACAGCCAGACCCAGGCCATCCTCACCAAGCTCAAGTGTGCTGCAGGTGAGGGCCCTGGGGCCCTGGGTGGGAGGACACACAGCTGGGGCAGGCCCTGGAGCCCCACACCCACGGCTAGGGTTCCATGTGCGAGGCCAGTGTGTGATCAGCGCTTAGGAGCAGAGACGCTGCCTCCTGACAGCTGCTGTCAGGGCAGGTTGTCGACAGCAGCAGCAGCAGCTGTGCACGGCTTCCCCAAGCGCCTGACTTGAGGGAGGCACCCTGACCGTGCTCTTGGCTATTGTCACTCGCCTTCCTACCCAGAATATCTATCCCTGAGGCTGAGGAGCAGCTGGGGCAGGAGAGGCCCTGGGAGGTCTGGCAGCCTCCCTCCCCGGGCCTCACCCTCCCCTGCCCCTCCCCCAGGGCTGGCTGAGCTGGCTGCTCGCAAGTACAAGCAGGCGGCCAAGTGCTTCCTGCTGGCCTCCTTTGATCACTGCGACTTCCCTGAGGTGAGGGGCATGATGGCATCTAAGCAGCAGCCCTTGCTGGGACTCGTGAAACGGGGAGGGCTTGTGGGTTGGGCTCTTTGTTGGGGGGTGGTCACCCAATGGGGTCCTAGGTGGGGCAGGATGGCCTCCACCCTGGCTTCTGTCCTGACCAGCAGTGACCCCAGGTCTCTGGAACACCTCCTTCTGTCCCTCAGCTGCTGTCCCCCAGCAACGTGGCCGTCTATGGCGGCCTGTGCGCCTTGGCCACCTTTGACCGGCAGGAGCTGCAGCGCAACGTCATCTCCAGCAGGTGGGTGGAGGGCAGGGCGCTGAGCCTCACCCCCCGGGCCTGTAGGGCTGGTGGGTGGGCGCAGGGCAGCTCTGAGGAGTCTGGCGCCTGCAGCTCCTTCAAGTTGTTCTTGGAGCTGGAGCCCCAGGTGCGGGACATCATCTTCAAGTTCTACGAGTCCAAGTACGCCTCGTGCCTGAAGATGCTGGACGAGATGAAGGTGAGGGACCGGGCCTGGCTGGAGGGCGGTGGGCGGAGGGCCCGGGGCAGGCGGTCCCTGACCAGCTCTCCTTGCCAGGACAACCTGCTCTTGGACATGTACCTGGCCCCCCACGTCAGGACCCTGTACACCCAGATTCGCAACCGTGCCCTCATCCAGGTAAGCGGGGGCACAGGCCGCGGCAGGGCGCTGCAGACGCGCTTGGTGGCTGGGCAGCTGACTTGCCCTCTGCTCCACAGTATTTCAGCCCCTACGTGTCGGCTGACATGCGCAAGATGGCCACAGCCTTCAACACCACGGTGGCAGCCCTAGAGGACGAGCTGACGCAGCTCATCCTGGAGGGGCTGATCAATGCTCGCATCGACTCCCACAGCAAGGTGGGCGTCAGGGGGCGGGGCGCCGCGGGGG